TTCCCTAAACTTAAACTTGTTGGGCTGCCACATCAGAGAGTGGCCATGACCATAGATAGTCATTACCTCTGACTTCTGTCCATCCAGCACATCAGTCACCAGACTAAATAGATGCTGACACTATATTGCTGAGAGTTAAACTTCATTTAACAGGGAAATGACTGATTTTACTAAAAAGCAATAACCTCAAGTGAATAATTGTTTAACCTGGGAGAGTTCCATCATATGACATTTATGACATGAGACATTTACAAACAGAAGCTGGTCAGTAAATATGTTGCAGATCAGTGTTGGTGGTCAGAAGCTCACTTCTGAAACCAGTGAACTTCCCAAATTATTCAATATCCACTCACTGATGGAGCTCGACACGTTACAGTGTTGGTTTATGCTCTATCTTCCTGCACCACACTTAGTACACTGGCATCTACTGTGTTTTCACAGGTGTGTTCACAGGCCAGGTGGTACTTGTTTGAACACCTGGAATGGCGCATAGAGATGACATCAAGACACAAGACATGCCATCGCTGGCAGGTTTGACAGGCAGCCAAGCTGCAGGAGGGTGGGGTCACTGGATCAAGTTACACCAGGTGATCAAACATACACTGTGGAAAATATTAGAAATATCAGACACATGCTACCCTTGCCCATCTGTAACTCTCATGTTTCCCAAATGCAAAAAAGCTGAATTTATAAAATTCCAGATTCTAAGAGCTTTCTGTGAGATTGGTCATCTGCAGAATCTGAAGCAGAGAAATCAAATTCACTTGCCTGCAAGACATGATTCCCTCTCCCCCGCTCTCTGCTCCAGTTACTATGAGCTTCTACATGGAAGATGCTGACATTATTTATGACCCAAATTACAATATGCTTCTGTTCTCTATTTGCACTGCTCCTGCATGGGTGTCCAGATACTCCCACAAGCCCAATTTCATCTACTGTTCTGAAAATTGTAGGCTGACATGTGTGTGGAGAAAATTAATGATCAACATGCTCCTCTCCCTTTACAATAATTACTATCAAAGTGCCTGAGAGGAAGGCATTTTACTCCAAACTGCTCTAGCAGCACTGCTACAGTATGTGACAAGCAGCTGTGAATTGTACTAAGCAGCTCCCGGGTGTGACTGTATAGACGTGAATAAATGAGAACCTGGATGTGGTAGGAAAAGTGTGTGACTGCTCTGAAAATGCTTCCAAAAAAACAGGAAAAGTGGACAGCCCAGAGCAATAGACTTGAACAAAAAGCTGCTGCTGGTATTCACAGAAAGCGAATGACTTCATACACTAAGTGTTTACAGTTGAGACGGAACCATACAGACACGTTCAGATCAGGTGTCACAGTAAGTGCACTGAGGAGGACAGACAGAAATACAGACTAGCTTTTTAAACCTACAGTAGCTACCTCCCCTCCAAAACTCCACAGGCTCCATGGCACTTTTATTATTTTGGCTATCTCGCTGTCTGGAGGATGTGGGCTGCTTCGCCTGAAATCTGATTTTACTAATTTAATCCTTCACTGTATCACCACCATGAGCCAGATTAGTCACCAGTTTGACAGCAGACCAGAAAAACACCTTTTATACACAGTGTCCTATGCTGTAACCTGATATTTACCACCTTCTACTTGTTATTCACAGTTAGACTCTATGACCTAAGCATGACTGCTGCAACATCAGTTTCCCCTATAAAATAACAACAGTGAAAATACTGTCAAAGTCCACAATTTCTGCAACTGCTCACTTAAACTCTATTACATCTGCAAGTGATGGATCAAAAAGCACACTCAAAATAATTAAATGCACTCTTAATAGCTCAAGTTAATCTATTTAATTTTGTGAAGAATGACATCTGCAGCGACTGGGGCTTTGGAAATGTTTAAGTCTGTTGTGCATACTAATAAAATGTTACATTTTGATGTATTATTAATGCACAAACTGCAGCAATATACTGGATAAAGTCACACTCTGCAGCAACTGTCTCAACAAACAAATTGAATCCATTGAACTACAAGAGGAGAAAGTGCAAACCGTGCACCTGCTCAGGAAAAAGTAAATAATTCCTTTACCTGTCCACCCGCATTCTGGTGCGCAAAATGTAACGAATAGCGCCAAGAGCGTCCTGCTTGCGGCTAAAGCCATAGTGGCTATGGCGCGCTAATGCTGCGGAGCGACGCACCAGCTGCAGAGGGCTGGGACACACACGCCCTCCCCTCTGCTCTTCCGTACCAGTCAAATGTCTATACCCACAAACCTCTCCAATCGACCGTAGGGATTTCAGAGGTTTCAAATCTTTATATAAATTTGAGTAAGAAGAACATGGGAACTGCGAAACAAAGTCCTGTCCGAAGACTCTCAAAGTTTCTCTTATTCAAAAATGACGCAGAATTCCTTGGTATTAGCCTACTTCTTTGCGTGCTTAAAAGTGTTCCTCATTGATTTTGGGTTCAGGGAGCAGTACTGAGTAAAGCTGAGGTAGCAGGTGGAGACAGAACAACGACTGACAGTGTGTGGACGACCAATCAGTAGCAGAATAATTCAGATCTGAGCTGTTCGTTAATTTCTAAACGCAAATTACACATCCACTTTCTGCTCTTGTTTAGTGTGCACCATTTTAGCACTATTCTTTTATTTAATATCATACTTTTTTTTACTTTAACGCAGCCTCTTTAAAACCCCTTATGTAAGCACATCTGTAACCCATCTGTCCTGACCTGTTCCAGCCTTATTCATGCCTTTCCACTTTAGGATTAAACACTTAAGCGACACTATCATCACTGCACTAAGTGTGACAGAACAGAACAAAGGGCCAAGACTTTAACAAATAATCTAATTCGAGGAGACAGTTACGACCACTTTTAAAAGAAGTCATTTAACCACTAGATGGCGCAAGAAACTGTTCTTAAATACAGTACGGCCTGTTTATAATTAAAGACTTTGAAAAGAACTGATGGTTTACAATAATAGTACTAAAGATGCATCTAAAATTCTGTACTTTAATGCTGTAATTAAGATGAATGAGTAAGAGTATATGCCTAATAGAGTCAGTTTTTAAAATGAGTTTCTGCTTGTCCAAATTGAATTAAAGTGGAAATTTATACTGAACATGAACTGAACATCTCCTTTGTTCCCCCACAGTTGCTATCTCACTTAAGGTGGATAATTGTCTGAATCAGTCAACACCTTATAAGCACTTTTGTCAAATCAGACTCGTGTGTTTTGCTGTAAAACTGCTCAATCTTTTAATTAAAACTGCACATTTCCAGCAACAATCTGACAGATGGGCAATTACTGAAGAGTGCTCATAGCTCAAAGGCTAATCTGTTCATAATATTCTTATTAATACTGAAAATTTGAAGTCAGATTTGTCAATGTATATTGTAATAGTCTTAATGATCTAAACTGGCATTTTTTTCTGTTAGCTTACCCTTGTTGATATAAATGAGATGGACAAAATAATAGAAACACCTCTAATACAAGACAGTTCAACATCACCACAAACTGCAGCCTCCAAAATGACCATAACACTGAAAGTCTCTCTAAATCTGTTTCAACAAAAACTAAACATTAATATCTTATGATAGGGACGATAGGTTTCAGGATTTATTATGTTACACTGCATTAGTTTTAGCATTGTGTACATAAACTGAGTGTTGCTGTCTGTGCCTGTAAGGGCTCTAGAAGAACAGGACTTCTGAACTTGACTGTAAGTAAGCTGGAGTCCAGACCAACATCTCCCTCTATTGGTTTCACACTTTATCTACACTGGAAAAAGATTTTATTCATCACTGGCTCATGACTGAATACAACAATGACTGGAAGTGACACCTGAAATCAGGGGTTAAATAAGCAGTACATATAAAACATTGACTGCATTTTAATATTATGAATAATATATGAGACAAAATACCCTAAAACTTTAACTTTATTACTGCTATAATCTCTCTTTTACACAGTACTGCAGCACAAATTGTTGATTTGTAAACTAAAAAATATCTTATTGAAGCATAAAATTGTTTCTTTCACTCACTCTGCAAACCCACAAATGTGCAAAGACACTGTCACTCATTCCCTAACACTCTAGAAAGGAGGAGAAAGGACTGGACTGCTCCTCAGGTGACACCATGTCATGCCTGTATATTATACATCTTATACTTGGCGATTAGATATGTGTCTGATTTATGTCTAAGATTATACTTTATTTGTTCAATATAAGTGCAGTGCTTTATGTCAGTCGGTGCTATTCCTCTGGATATCTGCAAATAGAAACAGAAATGCTGAATTAATGAACCGGCTCGCTCATTCGACCATTGTAACTTTGTACCATACTTTCCTAATTATCAGTGGAGAGTTGAGGGGAGGGCAACTTTTAATTAGCTGTTGTCAACTGTGCCTAAAAATAGGGTGGTTTGATAAGAAAAAACACTGAGCTTAATAGAAAAACTGATCCTACAGAGGCTGTAAAGATGTAGAATTTAAATAAAGCATAACAAAGAGTATTCTAGATTGTTCTGTGTTTTCGTGTAGAAGCTATTCTGAGCAGATGATGCAAGTCTTATCTCACAGTGTCCACATCTTAGCTGATGTCTGTGTCAGTAGTGTGTCACTGTGCCTGCTGGGATGTGGAAGACCAGAGACATCACAGTGCTGCCAGAAGGAGTGAAGTTAAATTAAATTTTATTTGTATAGCCAATTATCACAATTTGCCTCAAGTGCCTTTACAATGTGTACAGCCTGCGACACCCTCTGTCTTTAAGAAAGGAAAAACACAAGGAGGAAAAAACCTTTTAATGGAGAAAAAATGTAAGAAACCACAGGAAGAGCAATCAGTTCCCATCAGTGTTGTGGTACTCCTGGAAACAGTGGCATTCTGTAAAAGAAACCCCCAGCTTCTCACTGCTTAGTTTAGCACTTGCCATAACATGAAACTGAACTGTGTCATATGTAATGCAACTTTACACAAACCTATCTCTTGGTGCATATTCCTGAAATGCATGTTTTATCGGTTGTCTTGCACTCATGGCAAGGTTTCCCACACATTTTGTACCAACATCAGCTGAATCACACATCAAGCTATTCTTCCTCAAGAACCCATCAGGACTAGACCTGGACTGTGTTGTGAAACCCCTTGGCACAGCTACCCCGCTGCTCTTTCCTTGTTACAGATACAGGGATTACACTGCACCAGCTGGCAGGTGGGAGGTGCGGTCTGTTGTTTGTTATCACAGCATACAGACCAACAACAGACAAGTGACAAAGCTCATCTCATCTGACCCCTGACCTTAGCCGCCCTTGTCCACAACAATAAGGGAAAAAGGAGTTTCCTGGCAAATGTAACTGAAGGATAAAATCTACTCCTAAAATATGCAGTAGAAATCTATCTTAATGTTACAGTAAACTCTGTCTTCATAGAAATAATAATACAGCCATACCATGTATAAAAAACTGAAGGTCATTAACATTTATTAACTTGTTACATTCACATCCATGTTTACAGACTTTTTAGAATCCTCTATCTTTTTATCAGTTGGAATTTGTTGAATATATGAATCTTCTTTTACCGACTAAGACCAGGCTGTCTGCAGTAATGATAAATTAAATAACGCATAGGCTCCTGGTCCAAGATTTTTGAGCACTGAAAAACAGTAGGTACTGAAAATTCCCCCAGATCCCAGGGCTGGGCTGATCTTTTACAGTGAGGGCATCCACCATCCCCTCGCTGAAGCTGAAGCCCACACTCCCGCCCTTCCTGCGCAACCAGCAGAGTCAAAAACAAGTGCCAGCTCGGAGATGCGCGACAGACTCAGCGGATACCGAGCACGGAGCAGGAGGAAATATTAACCAAAGCCTGTGATCAGTCTTTAATTGCTGCTGATGTCAGAAGACAAATTTTAAGCATTGTACATGCTGCTTTTATGGAAAACGATTCTGGGGTCTCGCGAATCCAGACGCAAGGAGAGGCGCAGATAAAGATCTTTAACCACAGTCTGCACCAAACCAGTTCAACTATCTGTGTGGAGTAAAATTACTCCCCTGACCAGCGTGGACTGATGATGTCTCTAATGGTTCACCTGAAGACGGCCGCTCACCTCCGGGGAAAAGGTGACAGGATCGCCAAAGTTACATTCAGAGGTAGGACATCTTTCATTTATGTCGTAGCCCGTATATCTAGAAATGTAACCAAGCTGTGTGGCGTGTTTTGATTTTATTCATGTGAGACAACCTGATGGAAGATAATCAACGGCTGTGGTTGTGTAAAAAAGTTGGGGCACCCTCTCTTGGATCGGCTGTCACGGGAGACGCGCTGCGCTCTGATGTGCCAATGCGCGTTTAATCCACAGAAGCAAACAGAACTCATTGAAAAAAGGATCTGTCTGGATTTGGCAATCATCTTATTTTTTTCTTACTTGTCATTCAGTTTTTTCCCCAGTTTTATTTGGTGCACACCGGGGGCCACTGAGCCGGAGTCAAATTCTTAGTATTTTAATATACTTGGCAATAACGTTTATGATTGATTGGTTGATCACTAAAAACATATTTATTTTAGAAATCCTAAAATACCTGCATTAGTCTAGCCTTAAAATTATATTGGCTACCCCCAAAACCCATGAAACCTATTATATCAGTGTTATTAAACATTCAGTACCAAACACCAAAAAGATGGTGGATATAGTGACATTACAACATTACATTTGCTATAGTAGCCACACAAGGCAAAAGGCAGTTAAGTGTAAGTGTCCCTGGGAGTACAGTGACATTACAGTTTGAGCAGGTGTGGCTTTTTACATCTAAAGCAATAAGTGCAAGAAACCAGCATCCATTACTGAAGAGGGTGTTGGAGATGGGGTGTGCATGGGGTTTGTCTTTGTCATACCTGACGGGTAGTTGCCAGTCCATCAGTTCTTTGGCATTTTAAAGGTCCTGTGAGATTATTATCATAGTCCCTGTCCTGCTGCATCAGGAGTCACTGTAGTATTTGAGGGACCTTTGGAAGGAGTTCAGCGGATTCATTCTCCATCACCCTATGTTTCTTTGTGAGTGTGTGTGTGTGTGTGTGAAAGAGAGAGAGAAAGACAAAGGAACAGAGAGAGGTGACTGTTTCGGTACCTAGTGATCAGTCCTCTCTCTCTGACAGATGACAGGTGTTAAATTCCAGCTGATCTCTGATAAGACTCCAGCTGTCCAAAGGACCACCACCCTCTTCTTCCTCTCACATCTGGTCTTTGTGAGTGTATGTGTCAGGGTGTGCACTAAGGGATAGGTGTCAGGGTTGTGCTATGTGCTGCAGTGAACACAACAAGGTATTGATTGTCTATTACATGAACCATGTTATCCATATAAAGGATGAGACTGTCTCTGGTTCCCTTCATTGATCTAACTGTCAGCACAATTTCTGCAGTGCATCTGTGTAATTTCAAATAGCCTAAGCAAAGATGTGTGTGTGTCTGTGTGTGTGCTTTATCAGCCCAACTTTCTGCCCTACAGTATCTGATATGTTATGTCAAACCAGTGCAGTTCAACCCTTTTATTGGTTTCACTTACATCAAATTCTGTATATGCTTGTATTTGAAGTTTTTTTTTTAAGAAAAAGATGAGATGCACATCCAGTCTTCTCAATAGCTGCAAAACACATAACATGTCAACAATAAAATTGTTAGAAAAAGGTCTGGAAACAGCAGTGGTGGACTGTTTACTCAAGGACTGTACTGTGCTTGAGATTTTCTATTTTATTCTGTTTTATAGGCTATGTTACTACATTTCAGAGTGAAATATTACACTTTTTACTCCATTATTTTGTCTGGCAAGTATTTTACATTTCACATTAAAGCTTCACATATATTTTTTAAAATAAAATCCATTGTTAAAGATTAAAGCATAGATTTCCAACCAGTTTGACCGTTATTGGCCTTATTTAAATTGCCTAAATATGGAGATCATTGTAAATTATAAACATTTTTCACAAAAAATAAAGGGACAAAAAGGAAAAATTAATAAACACAACACTGCCCTATCTTGTTAATATGGCAAACTTGCTAGTAAATGGTTCCCAATCATCCATGAAGCAGTATTATCGGTCATTTAGATTTGGAGTTGGATTTCTGTCCACCTGATGAATGTAAGTTCAGTGTTCCCACTTTTTAGCGTTGTTTTGGTCTCTCATCAATTCCCGAGGGAAACTTCATTTGCCCCCTTTCGTGCCCTTATTACGTTAACGCTGCATTCACTGAGGTCACAGGTAACTTAACTAGCCAGTGTTAGTTTATCAGGTAAAACCCAAGGCCGTTAAAATGCTTACTACTAGTGATGGCCGTCTGACACTGATGATCTGACACACGCTTCAGACTCAAAGAGGCATTTTCCTTGAGCCACTGCTTTGAATTTTGCTTGGTGCAGAAAAAGACATGTGACCGATGGCGTCCAAAGCAGAAACTGCTTCAGTCCTCTGAATGAATCAAGTGACTGGTTCAAACAGTCGATACTGGTTCGTAACCCCAGACCTTACTGTGCATGCTTCACCTGTTTCGTAGGTGTGTAAAAGGACTATATACTGTATATGACAGATCCTCCCTTGGAAAGATGTGAAGCTCATCTGACCTACTGGAATAAACACACAAATGTTTACCCACATTTGTTTTTGCTAGCAAAGCAATACCCATGTACACCAGCCTCATCAGTGCCATGTGAACGTGTGTTTTAGAAAGCTGGAGAAGTTGTCAGCAAGAAAAGACACCGGCTCAGTCCAAAAACAGTGGAAAAAATATTGTTTCTCAATAAAACTCTTTGACTCTCCATCCCATGTACATAATCACACCCTGCCCTAGTTACATAAACACACCCTACCATCCTAGCACATCCTCTCTTTCCCCAAGCACACCTTCTCCCATCTACAACACTATATAAGTTTATAGAATCACCCGACCGATCAGTCTTTACAAAAATGTATTTACATCATTCACACAAAGCCTAGTTACACCCAACCCATAATTCAGACATTGTTTTAATGTCTCCTATTTCACTACTAGATGTTACTGAAACGAACCTTTGAATGAATGAACCCATGTTCAGTACAATTGATGAAGTGGTTCAATACTGGTTCACTGCTTCATTTGGACATCACTACTTACTATTATCATGACAGTGTTCTCTAATTTATAAAGATTCGTCTTACCTCCTGGGTTAAAAAATATGTTTTCCTTGCTTGATAAAAACAGATGTAATAACTTGTTTCCAAAGTTACAAACCGGTTTCTTATCCAGGTAGTCTGAGTGCCCCCATCTTTGTTTTGGGAAACCAGTTCACTTTCAGTAGACTGAATGATCTACTGTATCATCCAGATAGTTAGAGGATTCTTTAGGGATTCGAAGATGCCTTTAGGACTATGGTGAAAGTCTTATATGACCTCTGCGTTGGGTTGGTTTTGAAATCAACTTGTATAAAAACCAATAGTTATATCTGGGACCCAAATGCTGATACGCTAGAACAACAATCTCAGGTTTTAGGAGCTTTTTTAATCAAATGCACACTATGAGCGAGGGCTAGTTTAAACAGTAAAGGACAACATTTCTCGGTAGGTTCATCTCTGTAGGTTGTTTTCACATGGTCACTTAATACATTGTCCAGCATAATATACAATAGATTTGGATACACATTTACATTCTCTTTGACACATTCATAAATCTTATTACACTTGCAAATCGGAATACACATATGTGGATTTTTTTCCACATTCATAAATATGAGTGCACACATACAGATCCAGACACAGTGTCACAACTCACACTCATTTGAAAATAATACTTTTGTAAAATACCCCTATTATAGCTGTTTTCATGTGATACTGATGTTAAATATTGTTATCAAATTTGTTTTATTGTTATTTTCAGATACTGCTGTTTGTCTGGCCTTTTTTTTGTTTGTGTGTGTGAAGTCATTCCGAGTTTAGAAATTAGGGGCTCAATATCTCATGTGAGCCTGATTTCAATGTTACTTCAAAGGCATTATGAAAGTTCTATTTTATTTAGCACCAAATTAGTAGTGGAAGTCAGAGATTGAATCACTTAATCTGAGAGGTCAAGTTCTGATAGTAGGGCATCCTGAGTGCTTTCAGCTCAAACAACCTCCTGTCTGGAGAGGAAGAGGTCTGTCAGGAAGCTCCCACCCACAGAGTTCATCAACCCATAAATGATCTCTAGAAAAGCAAGATGTTAAGTATATAAGACCGACCCCACATGTTACGTCTGACATGGAACAAGACCTAATGATGGTTCATTATTCTCTAACACCAGATACAACGAAGGCTCAATTTCTTCAAAGTTTGAGCATCAAAACTCCATTTATTTCATGAAAAGCCTTTGATGAGTCCTTACTGTTATCTGTATCTCTTGGCTTTATCAAAAACAACATTAGTTCTTAATGCTTAGAGGCTGGAACTCTGCACATTATCCTGCATGATCTCCAGCACAATTTAACGTGACACACCATTTGATAGCAGAATGTTCACTTTTAAATTTTTAATCACTTTTTAAACTATGCTTTTCTAGCTTAAGGGGTTAGCGTTCCTTCTTTATGACCAACTCTTTTTACTGTGTATCGACCCTCTTCCTAACTTTCAGACACCTGACATCTACACTGCTGCCTGGGCAGATGGTGTCTTTTTACTAGTTACTGGACCGAAGCAGACCTTTTTGCAATCTACTGTATCCTGCCAACATCATTTAAATTACTTTTCCTCCCTGAAGCACTCTTTTCTGTGACATTTACTGTGGGTTTAGTTTCCATTACGGCTCCAGTTTGGGTTGCAAATCATCTATTGTTTGGCTTGTAAATTGGTCAGAAATCAAGTAAAATGAAATCTCATTATGGAAAAACAAACATGCTTAAAAAGCAGGCAGGGCAATTCCAATTACACCCTAAACATAAAAGTGGCTTTACAAAATGCTTTTCATTGCTTTTTTATTTTTTCCCACCCTTATCTCCAGGTAAAGGTACCTCTGTGCCCTTTTTATTTCTGTTAATTTGTCTTTCACAATGCTCTTCATCCTTAGCTGTCACTCCTTTCATCTCAGTCTGCCTGGTTGAAATAAAAAATGCACTCTCCGTTCCTTCTCTTTCCATCGTAGGTTGGTTCTTTCTTTTCACTCTCCTCTCCTGCTTTGTTTCTCTGTGTTTCTAGCAAGGACAAAAACCAACCTGAATAGCAGAAAGCTTAGTTTAGTGTGGAGCACCTTACATAAGATTCACATGGTCTACTTTACTAAACCCACGTCTTTAGTTAGATGACAGCAATGCCTCTGTTTTGAATAATGTAGGAGGAGTATTGTCTCTCCCTCTTTGACATTTAAGTGGTGTTTATTTCTAAAAATGAATTCAAAAGATGTGGGTTTTCATAGGGTTGCAGGGAGTGGGGAATGATGGGCGAGAGAGAGAGGAATACTTGAGACATAGATTATGAATGGAACCTGGTGAAGTTGAACCGATGAGGTTGTATGAAACCTAAAATATCTTAAGTTCTGCTTGTGCATGTTTGCGTCTTTTTCTTTGTCTAAACTCTGAGGTTATTTGCTGTGAATGTGTGAAAAGATGCTTTCAGCACAGATATTAATAATAATAATACTAGTAATATTAACATGTCATTGTCAGGCAGAATCTATCTACATATTTTTTTTCAAAAAATATTATTACAGCCAAACTGACAGGGTCTGTAATTAATTTTGTAGGTCACTATGCGTGTGTAAATATGTATATATGTAATTCAAAATAAAGTAAGTACACATCAGTTATCCACATGCATCCAAACAGACATCAGTGTCCACACAAAGCCCCAGATACACAAAGCAAACTATCACAACAAAGCAGAATGCACACAGTAGTCCGACACCATTCATGAGCATCACAAAGAAACCAGGTGAGCTCAGGCCATATAGCAAACGTGAGGGAGTCAGGTTACTATATAGTGAATGGCTGTCTACCCTGTGTATAACCACAAATACACACTAAACCAACAGATTTTTGTTTTCATGATCATTTGATGTAGAGATTCTTTGCACTGTATTGTCTTTAACCTTGGCACAAGTGTCATCTCTTTCATGATGTTTGTATTTTCATGTGTTTTTCTCACTGCTTGTTTCTCTATCTCTGTTCTGTCAGTTTCATTAGCTGCTTTTTTTTCTGTCTAATGTGGCTCCACACAGCCCGTCTCATTTGTGTGATTTTAGGTGCTTAAGTCATTCATTTGTCTTTTCACTGCTCTTTAGTCTGACAGATGTAAACAGATCTTAGACAGTAATAGGACAATCTTGATAAATGTCTCCCAGAGAATTGATGCATTGATGTATTAAACCTGGATCTGTGGCGAAAAACCTGAAACTGAAATTTCATTGCCAGTCTCATAATGCAAGCAGATTCAAATATATAGCCAGATCGACTGCTCCAAGTTGTGCTTTGTTAATATCCCCTGCTGCATGTCTGTCCACTCACACTGAAATGACAGTTATCATAATGCCATTTTTTAAAAATAATTTCTCTTGTTTTTAACCTAAAACAAATCCTCATCACCCTCCAGGTCTGTCCTTCTACAGCCGTGTAGCAGAGAACTGTGAGGAGGAGGCCCACTTTAATCAGGTCAGTATCTTCTTTTCCTCTGTCCTGCACCAGCCCATCTCAATAATGACCAGTCAGCAATTATCTCTAATAGAAACCACAGCCTTCCACTCTGCTCTGTAGATACCAGTATGCTGATTCACAGCTTGCAGCTTTTGTTAATTAACCAGTGTATAAAGATTAGTAATTAGTAGACATGATATAGCTAATGGAGTCAAATTTTAATTTAAATCTACACTATGTTTGCTTGCAGTATGCATATATAATTTCACAGCTTTCTATCATTCAGACTACACCAGGTTTGCAGGGATCTTTACACTATGCCAGCCGACGTTGAACGAGAAATGGGGTTCCTTAAAAGGCTAATAAATAGAAAGGGAAATGTATTTACTTTCACAATAATAAGGTATTGAGAGTTTATGGTTGACCTCTTTTGACTATGTGATAAAACCAGGAACGTGTTGAGAAACCCCATACACACTCTGGGATAACACAGCTCAACAAAGAAACCAAGGCCTTCTTGCAACTTGACAGTGCTAACAGCTGAGCTCACTGCAGATTCTCGTAATGTCCTTCTCTTGGTCAGTGATGGCCTGTCAGGGTCTGACAGGGAAGGCAGAAGTAGCACTCATGCGTGCCGTGGAACACTTTCTATGTGGTAATTAAACTAGACACTCCATAAGTTACTGCTCCTCTGCTGTAATGAGGAAAAGCAGGTCCCCCAAATAGCTTTCCTGCACTATAACTCCTTTTAACTTAAAGTGAAAATTTAGTGATATACTGTAAATTCTTGACCACTTCAGTTTATGTCCAGTAAATTTCATTACATAAATTACCTGAGTATCCTTTTACGGACACAAAAGATTTCACTGTTGCCCCTGTGGTGCAGGTTGGTCAGTCTCTTTTCACTATTTTGAAAATAGGTTTCCTACAGGTTTTCCTACAGGCTCCTGACACACCAAGTAACCGGCTTTAATGATGCATTCAAATTCAGAGAGCAGAGGGGGGAAATAAGAAAGAGACGAGGGTTAAGGGATCAAGAGTGTAGCGGTGAAAGAAATCCCGACAAAGTCAATGAGAAAGAACAGAGGGAACTACATAAGAAAAACAAAAGATAAAGCACCTCAAACACATATGATTCCTTCTCAAGGGTGGTTTCACTAAAGTTTTTTTTTTCACTGAGCTGCTTGTTTGTGCAGAGAAAACACTTTTCTTTTGATGGGTTCACAAGCAGAGTGTGGCTTCCTTTGCTGATAACCCAGGCTTTTGTTTTCAGTCTAATCAGGAAAATGGCCAAATAACTGTCCACATTTAATCACTTACATATGCACACACACACACATACACAGTTGCCACTTTATTAGGTACACCTGTACAATTGTATGCAATTCAATGCAACACTTCCGCTTTAACATTTGTGTTTAAGAAGCTCCGAATGTTTCCATTTTGGTGAAATTGTTATAAATGTATAAATTAAATTATATGTTCCCTCACTGTGAGTGTGTAAATGGAGTTTGGTCCCCACAGTGTGAGTAATACCAGGTGAGCATACACAGTCCTCACAGAAATGTTGTTTTTGTAGTGTCTCTGTTGAAATATAAGACAGAAATATAGATAAAGGGAGAAATGTGTCAGAAATATTTATAATGGTGTGTTGTATTATTCCTGAAGCCTGACTACAGTAACTGGCATAGAACTGAGTGGCTGGCACTGACATGTGATCTCTTGTGACAGCCTTACCCAATGCTCGCAACTTGGTCCTGTAGTGCTGGGGAGTTCGTTAACATCACTCAGCATCAATAAAATGTCCAGGCTTCCCTTCAGATGACTTGTGCTTCCAGTAGTTCCTTACAGTTTGTGTATTTGTGTGTGGGCATGTTGCATGCTGCTGTTGCCCAAGCACACATGTACTGCTCCCCCTACTATTCCTAACACTGGAGCAATTCTTCATCCCATCCTCCTCATTTAACATCCTCATCCTCTGCACTGGAACATTTGCATGGCTCGGTAAGTTTCAGTCCAACCCCTGGAGTTGAGGGCCATTAGCATGGAGTTGTGTGTCTTGTTGCTTTATGCAGTGACTAGCAGGGTACATTTGAACCAGTATGCAGATAGACTAGATGAGGAATATATATTATTCATTCCTTGGTGGGATTTGAATTTTAGCTGTAGTACACCAAGGTTTCCCTCTCACTATGTAGAAATAACTGGAAGCCTTGCATATACTGTATGTGGCTGTAGGGAGAGAGAGAGAGAGAGAGCGAGAGCACATGTAAGAATTTGATTATGAATGTATCTGTTTTTGGGTTACAAACAAGATATCAAGAGATTTGAACTGATTTGAATGCAGACAAGCGAGAGGAACTCCTATCCAAACATAATCAGTGCAATCAGTCCTCCGCTATCTTCTAGCTGCTACAGTCCACAATCTGACTTTTTAATGAGAGTCTCATGATTACATAACAAAATTTATGGCTTTTTCAGGGTGTTGTGCACATACTGTCTTGATGCGTGTTTCACAAAAGTGAGTTACAAGCAGTGCTGTAATGGCAGTGTTGTGTTTCACAAATGATTGCGCCCAACAGTTGCAGATAAATGTGCAAGTCCTACGGGGATGTTGAATTTACATGATCATTACAGGGTCACATGGATGGCCATTGTGTTGATTAGTGAGATGTGTTGAAATGAGTGAGAGTAAATGGTGTCTTGTTGCAAATTTGGTGGTTTTAGTAATTGTATAGGTCTGTCAGCAAGTCCCTCAAATGAATTGACATTCTCAGAATGACACATAAATAGGACTGGGTATTGTTCTAGATACCTTGACTTTGATGCCAGTTCCTAAACAATACTTTTTTGATAATAATTTTATGAAATCAGTTTTAATAAAAAAAGGTGTGTGTGTGTATATATACAGTAGTTTATGTATACACACACACACACACACACACACACACACACACACACATTTTGGTAATTACCAAGAAATTACTAAATAGTTTTCCCATTTATGTTGTGGTGTCAGAGGTAATGGCTGAATTATGTTCATATTTTTTTTATGAATGCAGCGCTACATCCCTGGAGTTACCAGCAGGTGGTCTGGGTGGACAGTGGGTGTACAAAACACACCTCAGTGACACCAGAGCCTGGAGCTGGCATCCTGACTCCCAGCTGATGCTAGATCTATACAACAAAATGTAGTCCAGTCGATGTTACATTTCCTTCATTTTGAAATTATTGAACATAGTTGCACATAAATGCATTTTCTAGACAGGGCTGTTTTAGGAATATGGTCTCAACTGTGCACATTCAGTTCAGCATTCAGCAAAATCATTCCCCAGCAGCTTATACAAAAACTTGGACACTTGGGACTCAAAACCTCTCTTTGCAACTGGGTGCTGGACTTTCTAACAGGGGGGCCACAAAATGTGTGCGAGTCGGCAGCGACATCTCCAAGACCATCACACTGAACACAGGGGCTCCAACCTACCAATGTGGTTGGTGCTGTAGGTTGTCAAGTTTGCGGATGACATGACTGTAGTTGGCCTCATTACCAACAATGATGAGGCCAACTACAGGAGTGAGGTGTGCCAACTGGTCCACTGGTGTAAGAACAACAACCTCTTCCTCCATGTGGGGAAGACCAAAGAGATCATTGTGGACCTCAGGAGAAAACCTCTAAAGCATCCCCCACTCACCATCGATGGTGCTGTAGTGGAGAGAGTGAGCAGCACCAAGTTCCTGGGGGTGCACATCTCTGAGGACCTCTCCTGGACCAACAACGTCACATCACTGGCCAAGAAGGCTCAAACACGCCTCTACTTGCTCCGCAAACTGAGGAGAGCTAGTGCCCCACCCCCCATCATGTGCTCCTTCTACCAGGGCACCAGTGTCATCACTGGCTGCATCACTGTGTGGTACGGAGGCCGTACTGCCTCCTGCAGAAGGACTCTGCAACACATAGTGAATACAGCCAGCAAGCGGGAGGAGGTATTGTAGTCTTCAGGCCCACTCCACCAGACTTACAAACAGCTTCATCCTCCAGGCTGTGAGGATGCTGAACACTGTCCATTTAGTTTCCTAAATGTGATGGCATTCAATACTAGTTGAGAGAGAAACAGTATTTTCGATTTTCTGTCTGTCCTGCACATATAGTGAATTGACAATAAAAATCTTTGATCTTGATTTTCTTGCAGTACTTCTTTGCTGAGAGCCTCATCAGCCTGGTCAGCACTCTGAACTTGAAGGTGTGCTGTGGCTGACCAGTGAGAGCAGGACGAGACCTCAGTGAGGTCGTGTCACAAAACTCCCCGAATGCCTCACTAATCAGGTTTGGGAAGTTAGTGGGCTTGAGTAAGGCATATATGTTAGATGAGAACGTATCACCATCAGGGTGAGGTTTTTAAACTAATCAGTAGTACAGGATTCATATCCAGTAAGTCACCAGAGAAGTAAAGTCTCTTAAAACAACTTCATGTTATAAAGTAATCCACATCTGGAAGTCATGTTTCAGCAGCTGATTTATTGACCACTTGACCACCAGTAAGGAGAAGAGGAGTAACAGTCACTTCTGGGGCTATAGACACAAACTGGAATATTGCCGTTGGCTACAAATAGTTTATAAACCACCAGTTTTTGAGATGTAGTGCTGCCTCAGAGCGGTGCTTTCCCCTCTCTGAGTACACTGAATAAATGATGATGTGAGCAGAATATTTTCTCTGCCAGCTTAGAGTTGGAGGGAAGCTGAAAACTGAAATATCAGCTGCCAAAATGAGCATAGCAGAGTCTGCAGATTAACGGGTGAGAGCCTAATTTTACGACTTTCTCTATTTAACATAGTTCGTGCATCAGTTTTTTAAATTTAGAATGACAAAATACTAGATGTGCTTGGAGACATATCGTAGATCTGCCCACACAAGTGTGTATAACTAAAATATCATTATTATTATTTTTACTCTTGTTACTGTGAGCCCTTAGGAGAAGGAAACTGTGCGAGGCGCATTGCTCCTCTGCTGTTTCTGTAAGTGTATTTCTATGTGTGCCCATGTGCATCAGCTTGAAACCCCTTTACTTTAGGGAGGCTGCCTCAGCAGTGACAAGGTGCCTCAGTAAACTGGCACAGAATTCAAGCAGATGACGTAAAGTGGAAAAGTCTTAAAACTTTAAAAGTAAGAACAAAATATGCTCAGAAACAAAGAACTATGTAGAGATACTGTAAGTAAATTTGGATATGGATCTATAATACTTAAATCCAAAAAATGCATTATTATAGAACCAACAAATGCTGGATTTAAATTGTACAGATCCATATCATGCCAAATTTACTTAGCTCATGTGTTTTGTTATCAGTCACTAGTTGGTCTGATTGACTGTATATAGCTATGATAAGAAGGTGCTGCTGTAAACAGTGTGGAGGTGTGTTTGGAGTTCCACAACATGATTTTTAAATAGGAATACAATGAATTTATACCCTGGACTGTTGTTTACCACTTATTGCATAACACATCTGGTTAAATAAATACTTGGACTGTTGTTTACCACTTGTTGCATAACACATCTGGTTAAATAAATACCAAATGAACAGAAGATTGAGCTGCTGTTGCTAAAAAGAGGAAGAAACAGTCCATCTCAGCAGAAAAGTTTTTAATTGAGGTCTGAGTGCTATCTCTCAGCACAACAACAGCTGTTTTCAAGGACTAAGAGCGGCTTACTTGTCAATTGCATTGTTCATTATGTCCACACCATCTGGAGTTCAACAGCAGACAGTGAGTAGCTTATTGCAGCTTCAAACTAACTGAGATTTGACTGAATTAACAGGATAAAAATTCTCATACCTGTTGCGCTACCCGTCAGTCTTATTTTAGCATGTTGGTATGCTAACATTTTCAGAGGCATGTGTTAAATGTCATACGTTTTGCAGGTAAATAATTATTAATCAGAGTGCTGACCAAAGTGAAATGAGGATCAGTAGGGTCAACAAAGCCGTTACAATTCCGATCATGAATGTCTGCGCCAAATTTCATGACAATTCATCCAATAGTTTACCACAAAAGTCCACAGTCAGAGGATCACTGACATCATTAAGAGTCACATTCTAGGGACCATCGGTATCTGCACAACATTTTATACAAGTCCATCCAAAAATTGTTGAGATATCTCAGTGTTGACCAAACTGATAGACCAAACCTGACAGAGCCACAGCACTAGTTCAGAAGCATCAGAATGCCATTGATCCCAAACATAGGATTACACTCAGAAGTTATTTTTTTATTCATTTTTTTATAGGTTTGCTGCTGAAACATCAGAAATACAAAGATAAATATCACTAAAATGAGAAGTTCAGGGGTCTCACAATGACAAGACATGTAACTAAAATGAAATTCACATAGGGAAAAACAGAAAGAAGAAAAATATTACTGAATGAAGCAGAATAATGAAAGGTGATGTCAGGCTACTGTATGTAGGCGGGTGAAGTTCCAGCATTTAATAATTTACTGTTGCAGAGGTGGACTGTCTTTTGTTTTGTTCACACCTGCAAATCCAGAGAACTCAGAGCAACTCTTCTCACAGTCTTAAAGCCTTTTGTAATGAGAAAGCTGCTTATAATGCCTCTTTCAGCATCTACCTTTAGCTTTTATCCCTCAAGAATGCAGCTACGTCTGCAGAATGTGAAGCCTGTAAATGCAGCACAAAAGATCACATACTGTAAGGAGAATTCTCTTACTGTTAATATAATGTATTGCTCCCAAACCTTGTAGTAAGTGTAAAAGATAGAGCATATTGTTTATAATTAATCATAGAGGTGTTTTCATCTTCTGTGTCCATGGCAACAGTTATGAGATATCAAAGCATGGTACACAGAGGATGGTTCGGTCATCCATCTGCTCGCCACAGTGCCATGGCGTGGGATCACAGCAGTAATAGCTGCTCTTCAGTTGAGCGTTTAGCCCCTGTGATTGGCTGCTGTGGCTTCAAAGCGTCCGGTTAGTGAGATCATACCTGTCTCTTCTAACGAGCAGCCTCACTCTGCCTATTAGGCTGTGTATGATACAGTACAAAGGGTTAGAGGGGGTGGATCTGGGAATAGTAATGTGTGTTCTTCAGAACATGGAAACGGAAAATAGAGGACAGGATCTAAAGTGAGACAAGTGTTGTTGTTTTTATAATTTCATTTGTTTATCTTATCAATTTAATTATATCAATTTAATTATTGATACCATGACTCTGTTCTTTTCAGTCATCCTCATGACAGTGTGACAGTGAGACCGCATGCAGGACCCTGAAACGGCTAAATGAAATTGGGGTTTATCTACTTTCTGTAGCCTAAATGTCTTGGACTACCATCTCGGGGATCTTTATGTAGCCCCCCCACTCACAGTTCAGTTCATCCTAACTTTGTCACTACTTTGTTTGTCCACAAAAATGGTATTTGTCGCCAGTAGACATACAGCCTCTTTAAAATGATCTCCATGACAGTTACCTGGAGGGCTGTATACCCAGCCCATAAAGGTTTTATTGGCACTGTGCTTCAAAATGTGTTTGAATTTTAATTTCATGCTGCTCAGAGACAGCAGATTAAAACAGACATTTTTAAATCACTTTGACATAATCAATTTTATTTTCTCATGTTACCTGTTGTATTGTATAAATAAATGTTGCAGCATAACAGAGATTTGGGATGAATGTGAAGGTGAATTACTCTAATATTAATTAAATTACTTAAATATAAATAATAAAATGTCTTTCTTCATATTAAGTATGAGCTTTATCTAAACGTTTTTAAGGAAATAAGTACAGTACATGTATTTTGTTGTTTGTTGTGTGCCTGTTTGCATAGCGGAAGCAGCTATAGTACGCCTTTCCACTTTCTCACTTTAGTGAATTCTCTGCTTTTATTTGTCTGCACTGTCTGGGCAGTTAAACCACTGTTTAGTGGCTGTGAAAGCATTAGTCAACATAAATACTGTAGTTTCTTCATGTTGTGGATTCCTGTGTGTTCCTTTAGAGATAAGTAGTCTTGGACATTATAGTAAAGCTTGAAGCACTGAGACACAAAATGGAGTTAACATGGCTGAATGTGGAAGCTAAACAGTGGTAAATCTGTGTTTATGTGTGTGCATAGGCAACAACACATACAGTAAATGTGTTTGCATTGTCTTTGTAGGCACAGATTAAAATGAGTGGTTTTCTCACTCTGGGGAAATGAATGTGGCTATCCAGTGTCCATAGAGTTGGATAAACAAAACGTAATTGCATTTACAGTGGTGTGTATGTATCATCTGAGCTACAGTGTGTGATATGCACAAGTATGTGAATATTATCATTTCCTCTTTTAGCTTTGTGTGCTGTCATCTGTTCGACATTAACACCATGCTGGGGCCCCTTTCTCTTCCTCTCGCCTTGATGCTTCAAAGACAGTGGAGGAAATTTAATTGTAATTGAGACGTGGTAGAGCTGGATTAGTCATAATCTCAGCCAACAACCAACACTCTTGAGGGTGTTTCCAGGCTCAATGTTGTTTCAGAAACTACTCAGAAGCAGCAGTCCTGCTTATGCCTGGCTTTCCAGGATCAATGTTGTTTCAGAAACAGTTCTGCTTATGCCTGGCGAAGTCTGGGAAGAGAAACCCAGGGACTGAAGGGCTTCAGGGCACAGAGCAGACTGATGGTTTAATATGACACACATGTCCACAGATCCTTGTAGGCAGGTGTGCCCGTATTGGGTAGAAACCCCAGGATTTGGTAATAGGACAGTCCTGATGAATGGCTTGCCAGACAGCCTGCTCTGTTTTCCTTAATGAGAGGCCAGTATCAGCATGGGGTAAATTACTTTTAAAGCACCTGTACAACCTTTATCTGTATTCCCTTATACAATCTGTTTCCTATATTGTAAAACCGAGAGGCCTTGGAGGTGATTTACTGATTAAGATTCAGCTTTTGAATTTCTGTCATCAAAATAGCTTATGATAAAGGTTATTAGTAGTAATGTCACTCAGACAAATTGTACTGTACTTGTTGATTTAATTGAAGTGCTCATCTATCCATTTACTGTACCGCTGGCAGCCTCAGCATTAATCTAATTTATACATAACAGGCCTTTCACAAGGGATGTAGTATATGCTTAATAGAGTAAACAAAATGTTGCCATACCGGGTGTCTCATCAGCCTGACAAAGACAATAGTGAAGGGATCTATGAGAAGAAGTCTGGTGAAAGTGATTTAACATAAAGCTGCAATTTTTTTTCTTTTCCTGTCAAATCTACATGAAACCTGATATCTTTTTTAAACTGTTACTTCAGAGTGAGTGGACCTCACTAGACAGCTAGTGACTAGCCATCTACGTATGGCGGGACCCTCCCGCCTGTCACTAAAGCAGCCATGCCTTTAATTAATGTGCAACTTTTAGCCTCTATAATTTAAAAGGGTGAGTTATATAAAAATTCAACCCACATACAGTTGTCATGGAAGGAGAAATTAGCTACAGAGAAAAAACCATGTTTATTTCTGTCTGTCTTCTGGGAGTCTATGGGGATCGACTCCCTTATGTAGCCAGCCTCAAGTGGCCATTCGAGGAACTGCAAGTTTGGGCGCTTCCAGATTGGCTTCTTTGGTCAGAGGCTGCCGCTTGGTTTAAAGTAATAATCTAACAAAAGTTTAACTTAAGCTTTTTCACTATTTTCTTTCTTTGTCTAGGCTGATTATTAATTCATACAATCATTGTTTGCAGACCTACTGTCTTCTAAACCCATCATGTTCTGTCTCTTTAAGACATTTCGATGGCCCATTGCCAGCAGGCTGGATGCTGATGAGATGCTGGAGATCCAAGTGTACAATTACAGCAAAGTGTTCTCTAACAGGTAAGGTGTAATGCTGTTCTCAGCTTGTCCTTAAACACAAATACTACACCAAACATCATTACAAAGTAAACTGCTTATGGTGTTTGTGGCCTTTGCTGTCACAAACTAGTTCAGCGTGACACATAGTGTGTCTCTCAGCTGAAGGAGAGGAGAAGGAGAAACCTTTTATTCCCCAAGAGTTGTAAATTGATTCAGTTGTGTGTAACAGACAAACAGAATGTGTTTCACATCAGGAGGGGAGCTGAAGTAATAAAACAGCATTAAATAAGCAGTAATGGGCACGTTTGTCACTTTCAAACCATCAGGTCATGAAAAACACAGGGTGTTGTAGTGGACGAGACAACTGGGATTTCATGCTGAACATACAGTAGCTTATGATAATTTTTTTTCATGTACAAAAGCAAAATATACACTAAAACAAACACACACACAACCCAGCACATATTTCATATTTCTTAGCTGTGAACAGCGAATCATCTGTTTCCACCTAACTCTATCCTCAGCATCCTCTACTCTCACCCCAGTTAACTTCATGTCCTCTTTTAGCACATCCATATATCTCCTCTTTGGCCTTCCTCGTGACCTCTTGCCTGGCAGCTCCATCTCCAACATCCTTCTACCAATATAACCACTATCCCTCCTCTGCACATGTCCAAACCATCTCAATCTGGCCTCTCTGACCT